TAACATAAGAACATCATCATTCTTCATAAATTTACAGACAGTGTATCAGTTGGTTTATCACTCCTTTTTGTGCATCTATTTCATAGTCATCATAATAATTATGTTACATAATAACTCATATTATCAATCAACAATTATATATCCTAATATCCTTATTAAACAATCATTTGACTATAATTTAACTAATTCATGCTTAAGCGAGATAACTATAATTTAGTTAATTTATAACAAATCGTAAAATCATACCAAATCTATCTTAATATAATATTCTAAAAATATTATCAAAACCAAAATATATATATATTCTATTATTATATTGTTTTATCTAACCATTGATAAAAAAGATCCCAAACTTCATAGAATTGTTTATCTTCTTGTTCTCTAATTTCAAATGTCAATCTACTCATTTCAGCACATTCCAGTATTTTCTTAATAATTTCTTCCTCTAATGGTATTTTCTCACTCTTCCAATTTCTAGCAAATACAATCCTAGCCGCTGTTAACACATTTACAATCAAATACTTTAAGTTTTTATTAAATGTATCAGGTAAGATTCCCAATAGAAAAATCTCTGGTTTCAAATCTATATGTTTTTTTGTCATTTCTTCCAACTATATGTGAATTCTAGTCCAGTATTTCCTGGCCTCCTCACAAGTCCACCACTTTCTTTTATAGGGCTAACGCCCTATCGTCTGAAGTTGCCTAGATCGCTACGGGTTCATCCGGTGTTCCATCGCTCCCTTCTGATTCGGGAAAAGCCGGCCTGTCCGCTCCGCCAACCTGACCCTTCCCTGCCAGCACCACGTGATGGAGGCAGTTCGTCAGAGTATGAAGTCGCCAGTATTCGAGACTCTCAGTGGTTGAGAGGGCGATTTCAGTACCTGACTGAATGGAATCAAATACGTTATTTCTTTGTTATAACCCTCAGGCAAAATTCCCAATAAAAATGTCTCTGGTTTTAAGTCTATAGGTTGTTTTATCATCTTCTCCAGCCACATGTGTATTTTAGCCCAGTACCTTTTAGTCTCTGTGCATGTCCACATGTGGTAATATGATCCTGGTAACTTCTGGCATTTCCAACACATCGCCGACTTATCTTCAAACATCTTAGTAATTCTCATTGGGGATAGATGCCACCTGTAAAACATCTTATACAAATTCTCTTTATAGGCCGTTGACATAATTAATTTATAATTTCTAGACCATATCAAGATCTATTCCATATTCAAAGTTTTTCCCCCAATCATTGTTTCTTTTATTTGTTCATCCTCTAACTTCAGTCCTAATAGATAACCATACAGTTTTTTAATCAACTTCTCATCAGTGCCTGTTAGGATTTTATCTAATTCAGTCAATTCCTTATAAAACCCAGTCATCTTAATGTCTTTTGCATACCTTGTGTGTATTTGCAAATACAAGTACCAATTTATATTTATTCCTTGTAAATCAAATTCTTGCTTTGTTTTGAGTTCACCCTTTTCATTTAAAATTTCATCATATCTAATTATGTGTTCCTTTTTAAATTGCTGTGAATATGAAAAGGTTTCTAAGTTGATAACCAGACTGGTATTTTCAAATAATGATAGTCTCTTATCTTTTCCCATACTGTTAATAAAGCATCTCTAATATAATGTCTCCTTCATCCACATCAATATTGTTGCCTGATAGTATAATTCCCAACTGGGTAATCCAAAACCCCCTCTCAACCTTGCTTCCTGTAGTAATTTTATCTTGATTCTTGCCTTTTCCCCACGCCAAATAAATTTCATCATAATTTTAATTAAATCTTCAAAATATTTTTTTTCAATCTTATTGGAATCATTTGAAATAGATACAATATTTTTGGCAGTATGTTCATTTTAATTGTCGCTATTATACCTATTAAGGATAGTTGTAGATTTTTCCATTTTTCTAGATCTATCGCAATCTGTTGTAATAATCTGTCATAGTTATTTGCTTTAAGTGTTCCACATCTAGCTGTCATTTGTATCCCTAAGTATTTCACTTTTTTGTAATTTGAATATTTAATTTGTCCATTAGTCTTTTCTTTTGTTTTTCTGTCATATTTTTCACCAGAATTTTTGTTTGTTTATTTTCAGTCCTGCTACTTTGCCAAACTCCTCTAATCAACTTTGGGCCTGTTTCCAATGGTTCTTCCAATATAAAAACCAAATCATCTGCAAATGCTTGTAATTTATACTCTTCATTTTTTATTTTCATTCCCTTTATTTCTCCATTTTTTCTAATATTTCTATTCAAGACTAGAAGACTTCTGATTTGGTGGCAGAGAGGACAACAGAAGGGATCCTTGAGGCTACACAGACTTGACTTTAGGCAGCTTTAGTTTATCAGAATTTTGTCTACAATAGTCAAAGCAAGATGATCTTCTCCTTAGCAGCATTTCTTTCCTTTCTCTCATTCAGCCTTTTTCTAACCCCAACTTTTCACTGCACTTTCTGGTTTGCACCCATTTTGTCATTTTTTTTCCTCTAGCTAGAAGGGTTTCTTTCCTTGCTTGGGCAGTTCCCTTGGCTGCCTTTTCTGGGCTGAGTCTCCTTTCTTTCTTCCTCTAGAGTTGCCTCTGCATCTTCCTGCTGTGACTTTTGTTCAAGAAGCCCTTGCAATTTGCTTTGTTTCTGAAGTCTTACATTGACTTGGATTCTCTCTCTCTCTGCCCCTCCCTCTCCTCTCCCTCCCCCCTCCCCTTCTCTTTCCCTCCTTCTTTCTCTTCCCCCCCAGCCTCTCTTTTTATATTGATTTGTATTGTTTTAAATCCTAGTTATATATTGTACAATTGTATCCAGAGTTGGCAGGTTGAAACAGCCAATTAATCAATCAATCAATCAATCAGGAAGCATTACATAAAATACAAGAAAACAGATTTTTTACTTTATATTAGAAAAAATAATAAGAGCAGTTCAGCACTTCAGAAAGTGGTGGAATCTCCTTCTCCTGCAAATATTTCCTAGAGCAGTGGTCGCCAACTGGTGAGCTGCAGCCCACTAGTGGTCTGTGAGAAAAATTTGGTGGTCCGCAGAGAAATGTCACCCCCAAAGCACCCCCCAAAGCAATTAATCCAGGCTGTGCAGGAACAAAAGGCTGTGCCACCCACTTGGCCCCCGGAAACTCTCCCCACCCACTCACTCCTTAACTGGCAAACTTGCCTGCTAAGTTGCTATTTTTCCTTCCCCACCCCCCACCATTAGCTGTTCTGCTGTGCCCAAAGATTTAGATTAGCTAGAAAGAAGAAATCGTTGGATTTTTTTGCTTTCTAGCTAATCTTTTAAGCAGAGTCGAACCTTCCTTAGGACTGAAGCTTCTATTATTCAGTGCAGACTCAGGTTATTATTCGGCTGATGGCAGATAGATCTCTGAGTGAATCTGTGATTCTGTGAGCAACTTAATCTGCCTGCCTGCGTTGCCTGATTATGGGTAAAAGTTGCTCTTTTTTAAATAAAAAATTCAATATTTACATAAATATTTATAATATTTACATACAAGCCATGCCCAGCCAGTCACATGACCACCAAGCCACATCCACAAATTAGGCCACACCCACAGAACCGGTTAAGAAATTTGAATCCCGCCTGTCAGATCCGTGTATCTGCCATTCTTTGATGGAAGGGGGGGGGAGTTGGTACAAGTAATCCTTTTTGATGTAACCTGAATATAAATCCTATATTGATTCTGTATAACTTACATATGATATACAACTGGAGAAGTGGAGCCAGATGTCCAGAAACTGTCACCTCTTGAAGAGATAACAAGATGAGAAGGAACCATAAAAATTCCAGCTCTGGAAGTCACTCCTGGGAACTCTGCTAAGATAAGTTCCCAGAGAAGGGGAGGGGAGAATTAAAATGTTGGTTCTTTGTTTGACTAAATTCACATTTGAATAAGTGGAGGGATTCTAACTTCCTTTATCTATGACTGTATGCCTGGGGATATCTTAGACTCTGCTTTGCCTAGTGTTGAAATAAAATCCCTTTCAATAAAGAATTCCTTTTGAAGAACCTGGTTTTCCAAAGTTCTTTCCAGTTGAAGGGAAAAAGTCCAATGCTTACACCGCCTCTGTGTGTTTGGGGGGGGGGGGAGAGATCAGATCTCTCCCACCATCAGAAAGCCACTGTCAGTCAAAATTCATATTAGTGGTCCCCGGGATTTAAAATTATGAGTTTGGTGGCCCCTGAGATCCAAAAGGTTGGCGAACCCTGTCCTAGAGGATACACTTTTTTTGTTACTATTGTATTGCTATTGCTATTGCTATTGTAGTAGATTTCTTCAGTGAGCAGGTTTGACTAGATTATTTCCAAGATCCCTTGCAATCCTTGCATTCTTTGATCTAAAAAGATTTTTCCTGGTAACAGTGGAAAATACAGTAATTGGGAAAACAATTATAATAAATTTCTAACAATTATAATATAGCTAAGCAATAGTTTGATCCATTTAGTTCTCTTTCAAATGCATTTTTAAAAATTATTATTCCTACCTGCAACTGAATAGAAGTTACATCCTTTGAGAGCTTCTGCTGTTTTCCAAGGACTTTCCTTCCCTCCGCTTTAGAAGGTCTTTCCTAAGGCATCCCCACCATGCTATCTACCCATCCCGAGCCTTAATTGTTGCGTTCCCGCCTAAAACTCATTAATTCACCAAAGACCACAGCGGCCCGAAAGACCACGAAAGCGCGGTCCTGCCTTCCCGCTCTGTTTTGTAGGCGTGGCCGGAGGCGGTAAAGCAAGATGTTTTCTGCCGGAAGCCTCACTTGCTGCCTCGTTGCACTGCGGACCGATTTCGCTTTCGGCGACGCCATGCCCAAGTGCCCTCGTTGTCAAAAGGAGGTCTATTTTGGTAAGGTAGAACTACTGCCCCTTCCTCACTTCAAAACAGATACAGCCGGAATGGAGAAAGCAAAGAAGGGCTACCATCGGAACCTGTTCCGAAAAATATTTAAGATACTAAAATCTAAGGTCTTCCCTGCAGCAGGCGTTGGGTGTGCAAGGTAGCAATCAAGGCTGATTCAGAACAGATGCTCCGGGCTCGTAATGTCTAACCCCGAAGTACAGTGAATTTGGAGCAATGGAAGAGCGCCCCAGATCCTGGGAGCTCGCTGTAGTACCTGAGCTCGAGGTCTTCTGTACAACATAGAGAACTTCGGAGACGCAATTTTGATTAGGAAAGGCTTGAACTAAAGTCCTTTTTTTTCTCGATTTCTCAGTATTTTTTTTTTATAATCTGATCCTAACTTTTTGTTGCATCTCAGTGCATTAAGAATTGTTTCACACATTTGCAAGCGCCATTAAACGATTCTAATATACCAGTCCTAGATTCCATACTTCTAGAACTTTAAAAAGTGTCTTCCCTTTCTCAGAATAATAATTTGGGGTTCCAACTCTGGCCGGGGTTGCATAAGAATAAATAAAAATGAGATCCAGACACCTTTGAGGAAAAAAGAAATGTTTATTCTTAAAAGCAAACTGTTTGCCTTTACCGGCAGCTCCAAAGAAATGGGGCACAGCAACCCAATCTAACAGGGAGCTTGTCCTGGGTGTGGAAGTGTGTAGGTGCTGATTCTAGAGTGACTCTTGGGGGGGGGGGTTGTGTGTGTGTGTAGAGGTATGTCTATAATGTTCTTGTGAATATGCAGTTCTGCTCGACCTAATTTAATTGCAAACATTATCCTTTGATAGGTCTGGGTAATTTATTTGGAGGCTTCAGGAAGTTTGGGTAACATTTGCTATTTTTACTTGATTAATTTAGTTTCAACTTGACTCAATTATTTAGTGGAGATACTGATTCTCAGACCATTATGGATTCTATTAATATTTTAATAGGAGATGGAAATAGTATAAAGAATAAAATATATTTTAATATAAAACTTATCATACCTTAAAGCAGAAAGGAGAGTGCCAGATGAAAAAATGGGAGGGGTGGAGATTATATATAGCCTGTTGCAGAAGGGGAGAGGAGGTTTTGGAGTACTCTCAATTTAAACTGCTTTGTGTGTTTCTAGATTCTCCTAAAGGACCTAAAAGAAGTATCGGTATTGTCTTGCTGGCTGAGCATCATGAGAGTTATAATCTCAATTCATGTGAGGGGATTGTAAAAATGAATTGCAAGTTTTCTATCCAAAGTCCAAAAAAGCCACATTTGAGGGTTGGAAAGTGCCCTTTGATTGGATCTAAAATCCAGTTGGGCTGTAAACCTGTTATCATGGTTAAAAAATGAAGTATATTATATAATGAAGTATATTGATGATCACTTTGTAAATATATTTTCCAGTATTTCTGTATGGAGTGGCCAAATGATATAAAATTTGCTTGAAGCCAACAAGAAACAATTTTAAAATAGCACAATCAACTGTTCTTGGAGACATCTCTTGGACAACATATACTATGTGCAGGAAAGTTAAGACAAAGAATAAGAAGAAATGCTACTTGCCAATTGCTCTCACCTGAATTATAAATTTCTGGTTTCTTTAATTTTTACCAATAAGAGAAGGGAGAAATAAGTATTTTAACAGGGATATAATATTAAGGTTCAGAGATTTTTCATGTCTAGGGTAAAGAAGTGAATCTTGTAGAGTTCATAATACATAGAATACCCTAGATTCTAAAGACCAAGAACAAAAATTCTCAATTATTTAATTAGTTTACATGCCCAATGCAATTCTGTAAAGTAGGCAACCAGAAATATAAAAAGATTATCAAAAGAAATGAACTAATAATTTATCCAGCTTTTCTGATTGAAAAGTGTATATGTATGTGGCGCAGTTCATGCCTTAGGCAAATCCATGATATTTATATGATATATGTCTTGACACTGTATTAATCTAGTTTTTTATGGTTTGTGGATCATAATTCAGAGTTAAGTGCAATTTGTACACACTAGATTGTAAATTATTTACAAATCTTAGTTAGCCTTAGCATGCTGTCCAAGTTAAGCAATGTATCAAGTTTAAACAGGCCCATGGCAATATTTCGTGGATGTTATGTGTGGAAATAAAAGGAGTTTGGTGCAACATGTTTTTACTATATATTATTCAGAGCTACAGCATGCATCTTAGAAGATAGTGCAATATTAAATTGGTGACACAATTTAATATGATATGAGGAACCTTGGGGTTTTATCCTGGGTATTTCTTTAGTGCCAAGTACAGTTTTAGAACATTTGAGAGTTAGATCTGAATATATCAAAGCCCGCTTCTTTCATAAAATATTAAAAATTTAAATATATATCCTGCCATTTCTTAGAAAAGAAGTGTTTGTTTTCCTTTGCACATAATGGGGCCTTTTGAACAGAAATGAGTAATAGCTGTTCATACTGCCATAGAACTAATGCTACCTTTTGTTCACAAGAGCTTTTGATTTCAACCTTTTAGTTATGTGTTATAAGCATTCAGCAATACAATTTTTGTTTTAAAAATTATGTAAAAATAATTAAGTGGGAAGAATATATGCAACTGAAGAAGAGAAAATAAAATTAAACAGAATGATTAAAATTAACACAAATGATCTTAATATCAAACATAGAATGGGTAATTCCCCCTGGACACTAAGCCATGACTAATGGCTGCAGTGCCTTCCTGAGCTGACCTAGTCCATTCCGTACTACCTAATTATGTTCTTTAAAAATGCTAGGCATAGAGAGTTCTAAAGAGCACTCTTGTCACAATGGAAAAAGCTGGACATTGTTTATTGTTAAGCGTTTTATTTAATATTTGTAAGAAAATTTAAACAGATCTGCAGTATGGTAAAATGCAGAAATACCCATATGTAAAGAAAAGAATAATACAAAAATAATTCTTTCTCCAGACAGTCAAAGCTATGAATTTATTACTGTTATTTGGATCATCAAATGATTTGTGTTAGTGTACCATAATAGTCTTCAACATCCAAAAGTATTTTGCAGTACTGTGCTCATGCTTCCATGTTAAGCTGCCTGCTGTGCAGTGCAGACTCAGTTGAAAGCATACATATGCATGGAACTAAGGAGAAATTTCCTGACTGAACAAATAATCTGTGAAAGAGCTTACTTCCCAGTGTTGTGGGTGTGCCATTGTTGGAAGTCTTCAAGAACAGGGGGGCCCAACCTTTTTGATTCCATGCACTGGTGGTAACAGTGGCTTTGGTAGCAGAAGGAGAGAATAGTTTCACGTGCAACCTAAAACCTGCACATCCGCAAATGAAGCTTTGCGTGCTCACCTGCTGCTTTACAGCCCTGTAATAGTCCACGGCCCAGTGGTTGGGGACCTCTGTTCAATAAAATATTGGACAACCCTTTGTCCAGGATGGAATAAGGTCTCTTGCTTTGGGCAGGAAGTTGGAGTAGAAAACCTCCAAGGTTTCTTCCAGTGCTAAGATTCTATGATCAAGTATCAATATTCTAAATACTTATGAAAATGAATGTCTATCAAACTGTTCAGACACCTATGAAAGCATATTTTAGAAATATGTGAAAGTACATATAAATGTGTGTTTCTCATTGTTCAGAGCAAGATTATTCTTCATCTCTTAAATTAATTTGAAATAGATAAACAATGCTTTGGCAGCTTTCAGAATCTTCCATCCACAATAGATTAACTGTTTAGTCCGCACAATGGTACTTATAGTTTAGAAATAAAATTATCTTAATATTCAAACAATTTGATCCTTAAAATGGTTGTAATCCTGAGGCATCTGCAGAAAAGCCAAAAACATTTCCCTACCCTTCAAATGATCCTCAAATCATTGAAAATTCAAAAAACAATATCACTCTCTCCTCCCCCCCCCTCTAAAATACAAGATGGCAGCAGGGCTTCTGCAGTAATTTGGGGGTATTTTTAATCTTTATTTTAAGTTTTGCTTTACTTTTGTTTTTGTTACTAGGAGAGTCTTGGATAAAATTGAGACAAACAACTTAATCATTTTCTTGTCTTAACCAGCAATTTTCTCTATGGCAACTGTTACCATGTGACTGCAGTAAAAGAACTGAATTATACATAGATTTTTAAAAAAGACTTAGAATAACTTTGTTTAAAGCACAGGGTTAGGGTTCATTAGCAATGTTTTCTCTAATGAACAATGTTATAGAAATACTTTTAATATGTAAATACTATTGATACTGTAATATTGATGTTCCAAGAATCTAACCAAAGTTTCTTCTACATGGATAACAGATAATAAGAGTTGGAAGGGACCTTATAGGTCATCTAGTCCAACCCCCCGCCCAAGCGGGAGACCCTACACCATTTCTGTCAAATGGCAGTCCAATCTCTTTTTGAAAGTCTCAAGTGATGGCGCTCCCACAACTTCCGAGGGAAAGCTGTTCCATTGGTTCTGTCAGAAAGTTTCTCCTTATTTCCAGGTTAAATCTCTCTTTGTTCTTGTGTCTTGGCTCATTTCTCCTTGTTTTTGATATCAGGCTGTTTATAGATACACATTTGTTATGAAGGCAATCAGTTTCCTGTATGTTCATTATCTTTCTATTTCTATCCACACCCAGTAGAGCAGATTGCCTTTGCTTTGATGACTAAATGTTTATAGCAACTAGAACTTCCGCAAAATCTCTGAAAAAGCAACAGCCAACATACCAAGTTTTTAATTTAATGGTGTGTGTGTTTTTTGCTTGGCAGCAAGTCTTGCTATGGTGGGAATTTATTTCATATAATCTATTTTTTGTCTTTGAACAGGAATTTGACTTTTCTTTCAGTGAACAGACTAGCAAATACCCACTGTACACAGAACTTCCTTTTTTTTTTTAAACAAGTTTTATTAATTTTTTCAAAAACAAACAAATCATCAATAACCATTACATACTTAAACCTTTTTCCATTATAAATTTAACAAGTCAGATAAAACCTTAATTCTATTTTAAACCATTTCCATATAAGCATACAAAAACCTCTTATCCAGTTTCTCTTTACCTCTCTTTACTCTTATTCAGTTTCATTATTATTGTTTCATCTATTTCTTTCTGACTTGACCACCATCATTCCCATTCTATACTTCTGCAAGGTTCCACTAATTCTCCCAGAAACATAAACACACAACACATATAACATAAAAGAAAAACAAAAAAAAATCTTTTAGGAAAGTAACTTGGCCCCAGATATCTCTCTCTTCATGAACTTCAATTATATTCATGCTCATCTTACATATCATTACTTATTTTATTTACCATTCTAAGTCTTCTATATTAACTTCTCCACACATTTCACTCTTAATTCTATCTTAATTAATCCATCTTAATTTGAATCATTACATTTGTATCTTTTGTCCATTCTATATTGTCCCTTATAATATATATAAAAAAAGAGAATTTCTCCTGAAATCACTAATCAGAGTATGATGCCTTTCTGTCTCCCCTCTAAATTAATCAAATTAACATTTAAAATAACACCCAGTACCCAATCCGATTCTGCTTGGTACATTCTATCTAAATAGTAAATCCAAAATAATTAAATACATAGTTAAACAGTAAATCTAAATGTTGAATCTTATAACATTCCCATTGTCTTTTCCAAAAACAAATGCTATAATAAAAATTTTATAATAACATCAATATCATAATCTTATTAAACTCTTTAATTAAAACTCAATATTCTAAACCTTCCCTTTAATATTATTAAATTTAAAATCAATCATTACTAAACATTTCAACATTTTAATCTCTTATCAACTCTTAAACCATTTTAATTTTCTATTTCTAATACAATGCTACAATATCATCTTATGTACCTTGCAAAACCTTTTTTAAAGAATTTATACTTTACCCTTTATCCCTAAAAAAGATTCCTTTTTTCCCATCTAATTTCAAAACTTTGTAGCTTTTCTCCACCATTTTCCTTCCTTTCTTCCCCCACCAAACCTTTCTACCCCCCCCTTCTTCTAACCTCTGCCTTACTGGCTTCCCTTCTCTGTTGTGTTCCTTTTCCCTTTTGTTTACTATCATTATGTTGATTTTGCATCTTATTTTTCCCCTTCTTAAATGTTTTTTTAAATCTTAAGTCCTTCATTTCTCTTCCTTTCCCTCTTCCTTCTTTCTTGGTTAAATTCTGAAATTCATTAAAGATGGCTTCTTCCTCTCCTTCTTCTTCTGCTGTCTTCATCTGCTGTAATGTTTGTTGATAGTTAGCAAGCGCCATTTCTAAGAAAAGGAAGGCTTCCCTCACAGCATCTCCACCATTTTTTTTTGTTTGCTCATATTCTTTTCTCAGTTCCTCAACAGAAAAAGCCATTATAAATCTTTTCTTTTCTTTTCCCCTTCTTTCTTCCTACAACAACCAAGATATTTCAAAAAAATAAAACAGTCCCAAAGTTATCAATCAGTCCAAGCCAAGGCAAAGTTCTCACTTTCTCTTCCTGGGGTAGTATCAATCAGAAAAAAAGAAGGTACAAATCTGTTTTCTTAAAATCTTATTGAAATATATATTTCAGTCTTCAAATCCTTAAGGCATCTCCTCCAACAGCCTTAGCACACAAATATTTTTTTTAGTCCTCTCCCTTCTCACTTATCACTTAAAGCCAGTTTTTACCTAAAAAAAATAGATTTCTTAATATCCACTTATTAAATCCGTAGAGAAGGAGAGTAAACTTTCCTTTCAGCACCACCAAGCTGCCGCTTATTTTCTCTTCTAGAAGGTATCATTCAGAAAGCCATAATTTCCAGGAGTTTTGTTAAGTATATCTTAGAGTCCCGGGGACCAAGAAAAACTTTCTCTTTTCAAAAGCTTTCTCCACTTCCTCCTGCGCATTCTTACCCGGCTGCCAGCTTCTTTGTGGCGGCCATTGCAGACCGCCGCTGCACCGTCTTGGGAAAAGGGTTCTGCCGGCCGGGGAGGGGGTCTGCAACACCCCCAAACCCCTTCCCGGATCCCCCCTATCTTCAGCTGGATCCCCCCTATCTACAGGGTAGCCTAGCTCCGAACCCGTCCAGATCGGAGCACCAAAAACGGCTAGCACGGCAGGGATCGCACAGAGTCGCAAATCCCTGCCGCTCGCGAAGCCGACAAACCGGAAGTCCCAGAACTTCCTTTTTTCATTCATTCTGGAGTAAATAATGTGAAAGGCTTTGTAGGGACGCATAACTAAGGTAGAACAAATAGCCCGAAATGGCAAAGATGAGGTTGGGAAAGCTAAAGCTCAGAATGAACTAAGACTTGCACTTTCAGAATTCCCCTTCACACTAAATGTATAAATTGCTCATCCAATTGATGTTGCACCTTCTGGGAAACAACCTGATATTAATCTGTTCTCTCCCTTTTTTCATGTCATATATTTTTTTTCTTCACCAAACAGTGTTCTGGTCAATACATCTCAGAATGCTTTTCCTCTCTGGAGCATGCTCTTTCTATGATTATAGGCCATATGTCAGACTCATCTTTTCTATAGTAGTCAGAATTGTTTCCCAACTAGCACCAACTATAACTTTTTTTCTTTACCTGCTCACTATGTAACATCCAATTGAGTTTTGATTATTATTAGCTTATGTTCTTCCCAGACAACTCCCACTCAGTATGCTCCATCCTCAATCATCTTGCTAGCAAACTAAATAACTTGTTTTATTATTTACCAAAATAGAAGATGAATTGGCGCTATGAGAAAAGGATTTTTAAAAAATTTTCTTTCTCAGGCATGATATTTTTCCGATTAAAATCGGAATTCCGATTTTTTTGGGAATCGCCCGGGCGGTGCGAGCAGAGCCCAGGCGAGCGGCAGGCGGGGCAAGTGGCGGGTGGGTGGGCGAGCGGCGGGCGGGCGGTGCGAGCGGCGAGGGGCGGGCGGGCAGGGCGAGGGGCGGGCGGGCAGGGCGAGGGGCGGGCGCGCACGGCGGGCGATTTCTTGGCGCGCGGTGGGGGGTCTCTTTTGGCTGGCCCCGATTTTTTTTTCAGAGGGGAATATCATGCCTGTTTCTGCAGAGGGGGTGGTGACTTATGCATTCACAAACTGTCTGACTGCCTGATAATAAAGCAGTGGAACGGGGAAGGAGGAAGACCTGTTTAACTGAAATGGCTTCAGTGTAAAGTACAGTCAAATGAAGGCAACAACTCAAAAGCAAGCATATTGTGTGTTTGATAAAGTAGCCACAGCAAACTCCTACACCTTAACAGTGTTTACATAGACCAAGAAGAGCTCTAAAAGAAGAGCTATATAAAAGCTATGACTTAGTGGGAGGGCACTTTCTTTCATGCCACTGGTCCCATATCTATCGCCAACCTGTGAAAAAGCAATTTATTGGAAAGATTGGTAAAGGCTCCCTGCCTCAGAAATAGTTGTTAGGAAGGGATGGAGCACTTTTATTCAGCCTAAGTGTTCCCCTTTATGCTCCTACTTTTTTCATACATGATTTTTTTATCTGTCTGTCCTATCTATCATCTCTCTCTCTCTCCCTCTCTCCCCATCTCCCTCTCTCCCTCCTCTCATTTATATGGCCATCCATCTCACAAAAACATTTTTTATTTATATCTATATTTATGGTAGCTGAAAAGGTCACCTCCCTCGGGAAAGATTGGCACCGGCCATGTTTGAAGTGTGAAAAATGCAAGAAGACCTTAAATGCAGGTGGCCATGCAGAAGTAAGTGGACTACATGAAGACATACATGTTCTTGGCTTTGGCTTGAAGAACAATTTTGTCCTGTCTCATAGCTTCATTCTTATAGTAATTGTTCTTTTCAATGTTTACCTGCTTTTATCTTTAGCTATCAAACCTGGCATTTACCCATATAAGGGACAAAAGAATGCTGCATAGACTTTTCCTATACCACTTTTGGGAACATGTTCTTCTGTAAATGGCTATGTCCTCCAATGATGCTTGGGGGGGAAATCTGTGCAGAAAAGCTGGACAAGAGAGACCATATTTGAGATGTCTGTCCAGATGAGAGAGAACTATGGGGACAAAAGCAGGCCTATAGTTCTTAAGGTTAATCTGTTTCCCCTGCAAAATATCTTCCTGCTTAACTTTGGGGAGAAATAAACTGGCAGCTACAAGACTTTGTGTCTGCCTCCATCCTCAGAAGGAGAATGTAATCCAACAAAAATTTGAATAGACTCCATCATATATCATTTTGTTTATGTTGCCTTTGAGATGTTTTTCTTATTTCCTTAGCATGATGGGAAACCTTATTGCAACTACCCCTGCTATGCTGCACTGTTTGGGCCCAAAGGTAAGAGCCAGCAAGAGGATGTTATTCTATAAACTACGTACTTACACACACGCATGCACACATAATTAGAAACCACACACACATACACATCCCCAAATAGGCCTATTATAGGTAGCCACCCAGAGTTGTGCGATAATGAGATGGGCAACATATAAACTTAATAAATACATTAAAAACAATAAATAATAGCATTTCTATCTGGCATCGTTCTCATGTCACACTGTTAGTGTGCATCAGCAGAAGTAAGAATCAGCAGGCTAACTAAGTAGAATTTCATTCATTTTTTCTTGAAAATGAGTTTATAATAGTACATTTGTTCTATGCCATTGGCTCATTTGCTTTCAATGTTTTCTTAAAGTCTGCTTAACAATATGTATATTATTTCAGATGCATTTCTACATAATCTTTTGTAACAAATGTTTCTTTACATAATGTTTTTCTAAACAAATTTTGAATTGATAACTCAGCCATAACATTTGAAGCATTACCACTGTAACATATCTAAGAGATTATTCATTGTGAATTTTATGTACTGTATTTGGGTTGAAAGCATATAAAAAATCTTGGATAAATGGAATACTTTTGCTACTTAAAATTAGCATAAATACATCCAAATAATAAAAATAGCATAAATAAAATATAAAACATTTTATATAAAAACTGGCTACTAAATTATATATTGGGCAATCCCATGTTGTATTGCAAAATGCTCCAGCTTTCTAGCAGTTCAAAAGCCCTGTCTGGCAGTTTTCATGGTCACTATTTTTTGACTGCTTAATTTTTCTTATTCAAAGCTATGGGAAAGAATTTATTAAACCAGGCCAGCAGCTGTTCTAAATTTCCCCTGGGTCAGTAGCATAACTGAAGTCTGGGAAAGATCTGTAAATCTTTTTTATTCCCACCCTTTGCCCAAGAGATGAAAAATCAGTGAGATCAGCTGGAAGGGAGAAAGATCTGGTATATCTGTTTTTCTTGTTAGGAGTTGGAACCAACTTAATGACTGTGGAGAGGGAATGTAAATCCTATAGAGCCCAGTATTTCCCCCCACCCCTTATTTCTCTGTTCAGTTAAAATGTGAATGGAGGTTTGGTATGAAGCTGGAAATCTTGATGTACTATACATATTTTTCTCAACTACTTGGCTGAAGTTCTAGAAAAAACAAACAAATATTAGCAACATTAAAGTATTCTGTTCATCTTAGATTAGGGTTAAGCTTGCCAAACAGAAAGCTTGTTTTGACAAGAATCCATGTTTTACAACAGTATAAAACATTACAACATGTTTTACAACACATTGGGGGCTTATTCTCCAGTATATTTTTCTATGTTTCTAATAGAAAATTTTACAATCCTACTCTGCAGAAATTTTGCATAGCAAATTTCTGCAGAGTAAGATTTTTACAATGTGAGGTGTCTCTTTAGTGCATGTTCACTAAGACAATGTCACAGACGTCTTGCATTCAGGATATTGCTATGTTCTTGCTGCCAAACTAGAAATGTATTATATATTTAACAGGAAACCTCAGTCTATTTAAATGCATTTTTACGTCATCACTACAGAAGAGAGCAGGTTATAGCTACCCTATCCAAAACAGAAAAATATTTTTCTCTATATCTAGAAGGTATAGAAGAAAGAAGCATGAGCTAAAAGATCTTACCTAGCATTTAGCATTTTTTTCCTGATTTTTTTTCTGGTTCATCAAGTAATACAGAAACCTTAGGCTCCAAGTATCTTATCTCAAAATGGAGGACTCAAAATTCTTAGACTGAGAAATGGAAAGGTGCCATTGAAATCTGAATGCTGACATTGTGTGTGTATTTATTTGTTTGTTTATTTATTTTAAGGATTTGGCCGTGGAGGTGCTGAAAGCTACACTTTCAATTAAAACTTAGGTGAGTCCCATTTTTTCTATTAATAGGCTCCATGATTAGAGAGTTACATGTAACCTTGTAGGCTAAGTCTTGTTCTGTTTGGTTTTGCTTATATATTATCTTTCCCTTCTTAGGAATGGAAGGATGAATTTTGCTGATTCCAGGCGGAGTTTATAAGAAATATAACCACCCTGTTTTTCACTAGAAGTGAATATAACGAAGACTTCAAAAAGGGAGAAGGGGATGATAATTGAATGGGGGGGTTTCTGTTTAACATAAGTTGAGAAATATAATCATGTGGAAACTAGGAAATAATAGCATTGGGGGCATCATAGGAAAGCATGGAAGTTTTACAAAATCAAAGCCTGCTTTAGATACTTCCTTTTGTTCTTATTTTTCTACCTTACAAATAAAATCTTAAATCAAAAGAGGCTTGCAGATACCAATGAATCAGAAAATGAATATAAATATTGGGAAATATTTACTGGTGTTCTTTTAAAAAGGATATTAAAAAGTGTCTTCAGAATTATTTGTAGTGAACTCATGTGAAATGAACACTTATTGTACCCAGTGAAACTTGCATTTTGAATTTATGAATTTGCAATTCAGACTGAAACCCATTGAGGAACAATTGGTTGATTGTACAATCAGCAACCAAGTACATAATCTGCAGAACATTGATGTATATTTGTGTTAAAGCATTCTGAGAGGCTAGTGGTTCATTTTTAGGTGTTCAATTTACTGTACAATATACATACTGCAGTTGGTACAATTTACTGTACAATATATATTATATATTCTGCAGTGGGTACAACTTGCAGTAGAAAATAAGTGAGAGTAATGTACTGTTTACCTGACTCTCCCTTAACTTCTTTAGCTCCTTTTCCACAATAAATTTTTCCATACCTATATCTGCAAACTAGCAAGTCTAGGCCTCTCGTAAGGTTAATATAGGTTTGACTTTATTGAAGCTGAAAAGTGTATAACAGTAGCGAGACCCCCCATCCAAAATGGGAGCAAAAGTACAGTAATGTTTTAAGAAATAAAATATGTGGTATAGGAAGTCAATTATGAGATTTACGTATATTTTCATTTTACTTAAATTAACCAGATTATATGAAAGTAGTTGGCTCCAATTCAAATGAGAGCTGTTGTGCTGAATTAAAGAAACAATTTTTCCTATTCGGTTCAGTTTCTCTAATTTAAACAACAAATTTTCAGTGAAGGGATTCTTGTAAAAGAAATGCAAAAGACAAACACAAAGTGAAGCTGTTTCTAATTGGAATTTCAGCATTTGGATTTCCTGAGTCTTTGGCTTTCAGATATCTGCCTTGGTTTGAATAAAAGTATTTTCTTTAATTCTTTCACTGACTGAATATCTTGGGATTGGATTTGCCTCCATTTGCTACAATCTTCATTTGTGCTCTTAATTTAAGAAAGATAGCCATGTCATTTATAAACAGATTAACACATGTACTTACTCACTGAAATAAACATGCATCTGAATTCTATTTCTACTAATAAATGCTTAAGAAATTTGTCAATTTTTTTAAAAATAGTGAAGCAAAACAAAATACAGATTTAGTACAGAGTGGATTACATTAAATACTATAGGCAAAACACCTGTCTCCTCTCAGCCCCACACCCCTAGGATCTGGTGGCAGAGGAGGAGGAGGCAGTTCCACTCATTGGTTATAGCTGCACCCCTTTCCCACCTCTGCTTCTGGCTTGCCTTCTGAGGCTGTATTCCTTCCTTCTGTTGTCAACCAGCCACTCATCCAGTTGTTCCTCCGGCCCATCTTAAATTTCTAGTCTCCTATTCTCCCTACCCATCTCCTCCTAGTTCAGAGTCTCACCGCTCCCAAGTTCCTAAAGCAGGCTCTTCCTTGTTATCTGAGCCCACTTCAGGGATATCCAGCATGAAAGTTGATTGGGTGATTTTTGGCCAATCACTGTCTGAGTTCAGCCTTATTTACAGGGTTGCTGTTGTGGGAAAAACAGGAAGAGGCAAGAGTGTTAGGTATGTTTGCTGCCTTTAAAATGTATGTATAAAATATGGTATAAAAATCTAACCATACTACTCAGCCTACAGCTCCTTGAAATAGCTTTTGAATGCTGGTTTTGGATATATGCCTCCATATTGCAGCCACTTAAGCTTATTTATGCAGGTTTGCTGGGATATCCTGACAAAACACATTTCCATTACAAATTTTACCTTAGTCCTCCATTCCTATGATCTCTGGAAAAGACCTGATGTAGTTGCTATCTTCAAAAAAGTATCTTACCGAGGAAGACACTGGAAAAAATAATCTGCGAACACCTAGAAGCAAGCAAAGTTATAACCAGAAACCAATATGGGTTTGTAAAAAACAGATCATGCGAAACAAATCTTACTTCATTCATTGACAAAGCGACTAAATTAGTGGACGAGCAAAATGCAGTGGACATAGTATACTTTGATTTCATCAAATCTGCAGATGAACCAGAAATAGCCAACATCCTAGAAAATAGAATCAAGATCCAGATGGACCTCGATAGACATCAACACGGCCTTATCTAACAAAATGAAATTCAATGCAGAGAAAAGTAAGGTTTTACACAAGCAAGAAAATCAAATGCACAGGTACATAGAAGAAATCTAGTTCAGCTCAGCAGTAACAGAGGGAACTTTGAATTCTAGTCAGTAATCACTTAAACATGAGCCAGCAGTGTGGCCGCAGCAAAAAAAAGCCAATGCAATCCTAGGTTGCATTAAGATAGGAATAGAATGGAGATCATATGAACTTACTAACTAGCCTTAGTAAGCCCAAATATAGAATACTACATCCAGTTTTGCTCACTAGATTATAAAAAAGAATCTACGTAGAGACTGGAAAGTGCAGAAAAGAGCAACAAAGATGGTTAGGGGTTTGAAGGCTAAAATAAAGAATGGTGGCAGGAATTGGGTTTGGTATAGAATTTCCTACTTGAGCATGGGGTTGGACTAGAAGACCTTCAAGGTCCCTTCCAAATCGGTTATTCTGTGCTGTTGAGTTCTGTTCATCTGTAATTTTGATGAGTTTCCTTTCAATCTCATGTAAACCAGCAGCCTTCAACCTTTTGAACATCAGGGACCAGTTCCATGGAGAGTGGTTTTTCCACAGACTGGAGAGGGTGTGGTTTCATGTGCTGCGTGTATCCTGCAGATGGAGCTTCATTTGCACGGCCCGATTTCTGGAATGCCATGGATCCCTGATCTAAATAATTTTGAAGATGTTGAAGAATACTGAGTCTTAAGACAGAACCTTGGAGTACCGCACTACATATTTTCCTCCATGTAGATATAGCTCCATTAAGACCTGCATGTTGAGTGTGGTTTGTCAACTAGTTACAAATCATTTAGTAGTGGTGCTGTCTATACCACATTTTTATATCTTAACAGGAAATAGTTTGTGGTCTACTTTGTCACATGCCTTAAGATTTGTTTGGCATGATCTGTTTTGACAACCCGTGTTGTCTTCTGGTTATAATTTTGTTTCTACTGGTAGGTGTGTTTGGAAGATGGGAACCACATCAGCTCTTTTCCAAGCCTCTGGAACTTCCCAGGGCCTCCAGGATCTTTGAAAGATATGGTTCAATGGTTCTGAGATAACATCTGCCAGCTCTTTCAGAACTCTGGGATGTAATCCATCAGATCCCAATGATCTGATGATCCCAATGGTCCGCTCATCTAGAGCAGACAGGTGTTCTCTTACCATTTTCTTATTTTAATTTGTATTCCTAGTCTGTCTTTTAGGGTTATGTTTTTTATAAATTGGACTGTATTATCTTTTTGCGTGAAGACAGATGCAAAGAATGAATTAAATAGATTTTTCTATCTACTGCCCATTACTTCCTTGCTTCTTCCCTGATGAGTGGACTGATTGTTTCCTTGACTTTTTTTCTTGTTTTTTATATGTTGAAATAAACTTTTTAAAAATGCATTTGACATTTGTTGCAAGTCTTAGTTCATTCTGAGCTTTAGCTTTCCTGACCTCGTCTTTGCCATTTCGGGCTATTTGTTCTGCCTTAGTTATGCGTCCCTACAAAGCCTTTCACATTATTTACTCCAGAATGAATGAAAAAAGGAAGTTCTGTGTACAGTGGGTATTTGCTAGTCTGTTCACTGAAAGAAAAGTCAAATTCCTGTTCAAAGACAAAAAATAGATTATATGAAATAAATTCCCACCATAACAAGATCTGCTGTCAAGCAAAAAACACACCATTAAATTTAAAACTTGGCAGGTTGGCTGTTACTTTTTCAGAGATTTTGCGGAAGTTCTAGTTGCTATAAACATTTAGTCATCAAAGCAAAGGCAATCTGCTCTACTGGGTGTGGATAGAAATAGAAAGATAATGAACAGAAAGAACATACAGGAAACTGATTGCCTTCATAACAAATGTGTATCTATAAACAGCCTGATATCAAAAACAAGGAGAAATGAGCCAAGACACAAGAACAAAGAGAGATTTAACCTGGAAATAAGGAGAAACTTTCTGACAGAACCAATGGAACAGCTTGCCCTCGGAAGTTGTGGGAGCGCCATCACTTGAGACTTTCAAAAAGAGATTGGACTGCCATTTGACAGAAATGGTGTAGGGTCTCCCGTTTGGGCGGGGGGTTGGACTAGATGACCTATAAGGTCCCTTCCAACTCTGATTATCTGTTATCTGACCCTTATTCAGCTTATTTTACCCAAAACACACAAGTACTGCTTTCAGGAGTCCAACAGAAAAAAAATAAGTATTGTACGCTCAGCTTAGCTATAACTCTTCAAAGCAGAGCTATTATGTATTAAACTGAAAATTAAAAATACTAACCAAATATGATAGAAGTCTGAAACATATCTCTTGTTTTACTGAGCATTTCTAAATCTGCTTTCTGTCCTTGACTACTGACTACAGCCTGGGGATTTTTCAAGCATCACTGTCTGCCAGGGATCTCCTTGGCCTATTCTAAAATGTACAGACTGAAATCACCTCAGTATGGGAAAATATTTTTATTTTTATTTTTTTCCTCAAGTGTTTACATAGTTTTATTAATTTATAATATGACATACAAAAAGAACACAAAAGCAAATATTGGGGAAATTAGGAAAGGAAAAAGGAAGTGAAAAGTGGGGGAAGGCAAGGGGGAAAAGGGCATTGATTTCTGACTCCTTTGGTGCAATAAAATAAGACATTAAGTCAACTTTTTAGTTTTTCATAATAATAGAAGCTATCACAACAAATCCATCTAATCAGTAAAACCCAAAATCAAAGTTTCATTTTTTCTGCCTCAAGCACAAAGTCCAGAAGTGGTTTCCAAGTAGAAATACAAATATTTATATTTTTCTCTTTAATCAAAGCAGTCATTTTAGCCATCTCTGCTAACACCATCACATTCAT